CAAAGGTTATAGTGCGGTCGTGCGTTACTACCTATGTTTTACTCTTTATCACAATGACGGTAAGCGATGTTGTTTTTTTTTACATTTTCCTATAATCGCTCTCTATTTCCCAGTATTGTTCTAGAGCAAAATTATCCTCGCTTAAAGAGTGAACAGAAACGAGAAAACAAGGCTATAAGTTACGTATTCATACCGTTAACTACTCAGGAACAACAATGTGGAAACTTAAAGTTACCGACGATTCTCTCATGACATTTGCAGTTTATCAAGACATTACGAAAAATTTCATTGACAGAACAATTCTGAAAAAACGACTATATTCTGGTCGCCGATTATCATTCATCAATTTCTTAAAATGCCACATGGCCGAAGATTCTGAGCCAGATTTCTTGCTCATTCGAAAGGCTGTGTTGTTGTGGTTTGGTACCAGACTTGCAGTAGCTCTTGACTGGAAAGAATTAAGTTACACGAGTCATTATAGCGAGGTGTAACTCTTACAGTATCAATCATTCTCTGACTAAGAGACACATACGCTTTGCGTACATCTGATGATCAAGTTCGTGAGCACATTCTAACGTGTTTGAGAAGATTTACCAGCGAGAATACTGCAAGAACATGTTCAAGTTCGTTAAACAACCCAAGTTCGAACATGTTCTTTCAAAATTCTAGGAGTGATTTACCAAAACGCTTTCAAACGCGCTCTGAACTTGTTGAAGAGGAGCTCGTGTGTTATAACGAAGAATGGATGATTTGTGCATAAAATCATTCTTCAAAGTCATTATTTAGTTTTCCGCTTTCCGTCGTCCACCGCCTGGACAACGTTATTATCACTTTGATTTTTATAAGGCAAATACTTTGATTCTAAGCTTGTTCACATGGGGGAGAGACGTGACACAAATAAACGCGTATACAAAAACTATCAAAAAAAGATAATTTTGTAGATGCCATTCGGACTTCTTGGAACGTCTAAGGTGATTCTAGAGCGCTAACTAAGAAGAAATGCAAATTTAACGCATTAGCATGAGTGTTCTATGAGCGCAAAGCATACTTAGTCAAGTACTTACAAGGGAAGTACCCCGAGTGGCCGTGGCCTTTTAATATGAGATGCATATCGTCTGAAGCAGCTTCGAACGCTGATTTCAAATCTGCTTTCCGCTTCTGCGGAACGTTCTTCTGAAGAGAGTTATGGAAGCCTGAAAATCCTATTTTGGAGGCGCTCCTTGAGTTTGAGAGCGCTGCTATGTGCGTTGGTGGTGCAGTGGTGTAATGGTTAGTTGTTGGCATGGAAGGCGAAAGGTCACTGGTTCGAATCCGGTGCAGAGCGAACCGTTTTGCATTATGAATGTGAGTTTAAAAAGCCCTTTAGTTCGTCTGCAGTCAATTACTGTTAATACCCTTAGCACAAACAGGAGAGAACATCTTTTCGACCAATGACAGTGTGCATTTTTTGAGCTTTATATGGTGACAAACGTGCTAGGCCATGTTTGGTCCTGTTTTACTAGTAAGGAAGTCAGATAAAATTTCAGGCTCTCATTACAAGCAGTTTTGCTAGAAAATTCTTTTTCTAGGTCACTTATGCCAAAGGCATTACAGTAAGTGTCTGTAGACGAATTAGAGTGCTTTTTAAACTCACATTCACAATGCAAAACGGTTCGCTCTGCACCGGATTCGAACCAGTGACCTTTCGCCTTCAATGCCAAGAACTAACCATTACACCACTGCACCACCAACGCACATAGCAGCGCTCTCAAACTCAAAGAGCGCCTCCAAAATAGGATTTTCAGCCTTCCATAACTCTCTTCAGAAGAACGTTCCGCAGAAACGGAAAGCAGATTTGAAATCAGCGTTCGAAGCTGCTTCAGACGATATGCATCTCATATTAAAAGGCCACGGCCACTCGGGGTACTTCCCTTGTTAGGGAGGTGGCCAATTGATCGGTATTCGTAACTGTGTTTTACTGAGAATGTATAGGAGCTATCTGAGAGCCATTAAAAGCCATATTTGGCCCCAATGATGGAAACAACTCAAAAACTCTTACGCTAAGCCACTCATTTTTGGTGACCCTTAATATGAAGTCTGCGCCCTTGCTATAATAATTTCACACAAAAATTTTGCCGGGTACAACAGCACAACAGTTCACTCAATGTTTCTCAAACCGCGACAACACCACTTGAAAACTCCTACAGACTTCTGAAGAGTTGAGTAGTTCAATCGGCGTGGGCGACTAGATAAACAAATTTCCAAAATTTATTGAAAATTGGGAAAGGGGAGTTAGATCACAATGGAGTCGGGTTATGGATGCTCCTCCCGTAATCCTACAGTAATGAAGAGCGATCGATGACTCTCTTTATAATGTATCGGCGTTGATGCGCTACAAAATGGTACTCAAAAGATGTAAAGACTTTTAAGAAAACAGATGGCATCAATCAATGGCAAAAGCGTGTTTTAGATAGTCGTATGAGTCTTGAACCAAAATCAGTTTATACCGCAATTTTAATTTTTTTCAGCATCCTAATAGGATCCGCGGTATCATTCAATAGAGCAAAGTAAGCTTCGTAACTGTATTATGAATGTCTGCGCCTTTGATCCATGCGAAGATGGCAGCAAAAGCTAGAAAGAACTGTTTAAGACAAGAAATTTGGTAACTCCGCATTGACCTAAGGGCTCCACTTGCCTACTACACCCGCTACACGTAAGACATTGTAAGGTTGCTGTAATTTTTCCTGCCTAATCGAGAAAATGGTTTTTTATGGTCCTACCAAAGCCTTACTAGTTGTCAACCATCTACAAGCTAATCTCTGAGAAATATCAAATTTGACATGACAAGTTTCAAAAGACCTGACTCTGAGAATTCACAAAGACTAGCTCTTGAAACAAAATCAGTAATACACATTTACTGTCGCGGCAACAGTTCAGCTTTGCTTTGGTACAACCACGAAAGTTGCCACTTTCTCAGTTTCCAGCCAAGAAAAAAAATGTAGCAACTTTATATGTATGTGAGTGTCTGATATGAAATGCATGTGAGTATGGTGAGTAGGAAGTCCGTAAGAATTTCCAGACGGAGTTTTTGGGCATTTGGATCTCTTCAGTCTACATTCAAACTTAGTATGGATCGTGGTGTAGATATTTGTACAATCTCTAGTAGAGTTTACTTTGCTCTATCGAATGGTACATTGGTACATCGCTCATCACCCATCACATCACGTGATGTCCGTCATAATCGTGCGGGCTGAATGACTCAACGGTGAATCGGAAGGCCCTCGAAGAAGACGATACTCAAAACATCAAACTCAAAAGCAATAAAGATCCACTAAAAAAAGCTGTTCTTTGGTCATTTATCCAGTTTCTTGAGTATTTTTGCAGAGACGGATTTAATTAAAAACCGCAAATAGAGAAAAAAGCAACGCTTTTCAAATGTGTACCGAGCTGATTTGATATTTGGTTCTTCCAAAGCAAAATCCTTGTATTTGACAGCCGAAAATGTTTTAAGCTCTTGCGATTAAGCAGTGTCTGCTTAGGATTTGCCATAAAAATCACACATAACTCAATGAAAGGACCAAACTGCAAAAAGAGCATAATGGAGGTACCTCAAAATCTATGAAGTCTTGATGCGCTTACAGACACAAAATCAACATTGTACAAGTATGAATTCACACAGATCAGTGTTCGCATTCAAACAACAACAAACATTCAACACTTGTCACTTGCGGTCCGTGAGTGGTCGTTTCCAGCGTCAGGCTGCTATCCAAAAGAAAGTAAGCGACAAGCCGGCTGAAGAAGACCAAACGTCGCATCAGTATGCTCTTTCATGTCTCTACAGAACTTTGGAGTTACATGTAGGGCGTCCCCCAAGGGCGACGCACACTCAAGACTGACGAATTCGATTTTTGAAGAAGATCTGTCGCCTCAACAAAATGAAAGAAGACGACTAGAATCGCTACTTCATCATAAAAAGCAACGATTCAAATCTCAGAAAATGCTCAGACTGGCTACCGTCAATGTTGGATCGCTTACCGCACGACGCCGAGAAATTGCGGATTTTCTCAGAAGACGAAGGGTAGATATAGCTTGCGTTCAGGAAACCAAATGGAAGGGAGAGAAATCACGCGATATAGGAGACGGATACAAGCTCCTATACAAAGGTACAAGTAACGGCAGGAACGGAGTCGGCATAATCGTATGTGAAAGGTTAAGAAACAGAATAACTGACGTGGATCGAGTAAGTGACCGACTCATGAGCATCAGAATAGAAAATGGGAAGCGTATCCTACGAATAGTCACTGCTTACGCACCACAAACAGGTTGCAGTGAGGTCGAGAAGGATGTGTTTTGGGGAGAGTTTGACGATTACATCAAATCCGTGCCACTTGAAGAAATGCTACTTATTGGAGCAGATCTTAACGGCCATGTAGGGGAACGACGAGGTAGTGCAGGAAAGTGTCATGGAGATCACGGGTACGGGTCACGCAATGAAGGAGGCGAACGCATTCTCGAGTTTGCGACTACTCATGACTTGGCGTTAATGAATACCTATTTCATAAAGAGAAATAATCATCTGATTACGTACGCCAGCGGAGGTCAAAAATCGCAGATAGACTTTTGGAGCGTTCGACAAGACGATCTTAGATACGTGAAGGATAGCAAGGTGATCCCTGGCGAAGACTGCATTCCGCAGCATAGACCCCTTCTGCTAGATTTGCTTATTCCAATCGACAAGAAAAGAAGAATGGTGACAGAGCATAGAACACGTATAAAATGGTGGAAGCTGAAGAATGATATCTGCACCAAGGCGGCAATGAAAGCTGCCTTATCGAGATTGGAAAGTAGTCCAAAATTCTCCTGGACAGTCCTGAAAAACAACATTCATCAAGTAGCGAGCGAGCTAGTGGGTCATACCAAAGCCGGTAGACCAAAGCTTGATAAGGAAGTCTGGTGGTGGAATGAAGACGTACAGGTCGTGATAAAGAGAAAGAAAACAGCATACAGGATTTGGCAGAAATTACAAACGGAAGATGCTCATCAGTTGTACTTGGACGCGAAACGCGCAGCAAAGAGGAGTGTTAAAAAGGCAAAAGAAACGTATGTAGAAGAACTTTACAGGAAACTGCGCAATCGCGAAGGCGAACGGGACATATATCGAATCGCGAAAAGAAGAACAACTGCCTCAAAAGATATAGAGCATTTTTACAGTATCAAGGACGTACATGGCAAACTACTCAGGAAGCCACAAGAAATTAAGGAAAGATGGAGAACACATTTCGAAGGAATGGCATCTGCGAGCCATGAGTACGCATCTACTCTAGAAGCCGATCCTGTGCTTGGACCAGTACCCAGCATCACAGAGGAAGAAGTTCGCTCCGCCATAATGAAAACAAAAAACGGCAAGGCGACAGGCCCAGACGATGTCCCCAACGAATTTTGGAAGGAATGCGGACAAGCTGGAGTGACTTGGCTCACGCAACTTCTGAATCAGATTGTAGATGCAAAAAACATGCCAAGCGACTGGTACAAAAGCACAACGGCACCTATATGGAAGAACAAAGGCGACGTAGCTGACTGTTCGACGTATCGGCCTATCCGACTCATGTGCCACACACTAAAGATCTTTGAAAGAATTTTGGAAACGCGACAGCATCGTGGACCTGGCCCCTAACCAGTGCGGATTCGTGAAGGGATACAGCACGACAGATGCTATCCACACTGTAAGGATAATGATGGAAAGAAGTAGGGAAAGGCGATGCGAATTGCATGCAGCGTTCCTCGACTTGGAAAAAGCGTTTGATAAGGTGCCACATGACGTTATATGGTGGTCGTTGCGAAAGCACATGGTGCCAGAAGAATACGTGCAGTGGATTAGAATGATATACAAAAACGCCACTAGCTACGTGCAAACAGCAGCAGGTCCTTCAGAAGACTTCCAAATAAACGCAGGAGTTCACCAAGGTTCCGTGCTGTCACCCTTTCTCTTCATCACGGTCGTGGACACGATAGTGAGAAGCTTCATACGTAACCCTCCTTGGGCTCTGATATACGCGGACGACGTGTTGCTGATGGCAAGAAGCAGAAATGAATTGGAAGAGGAAGTGCAAAAGTGGAAGAATGAACTAGAACTGCACGGTCTGAAGATTAATATCACAAAGACAGAGTACATGGAGCTGGGAGCTCAAACGCCAGGGACTATTCAGATCGGAAGTATCCCAGTTAAAAAGACCACCACATACAAGTATCTGGGAAGTATCTTGGATCACATATCCGCAGATGGCACGCTCCAGGACGAGATCACCTTCAGGATTAATTCAGCTTGGTCGAAATGGAAGAACATTACCGGAATCCTATGCGATAAAAGGATGCCAATCAAGCTGAAATCCCAGTTATACCGTACTGTAGTCCGCCCGGTTGTTCTATACGGCAGCGAATGTTGGGCCTGTACGCGGAATGAAGAGCGAAGGGTTAGCGTGATGGAAACTCGCATGCTGAGATGGACGACAGGTGTGACTATGATGGATCATGTCACCAGTGATACCATAAGGTCCACAATGAAAGTCGCGTCAATCGTGAAGAAAATACAGGAGAAGCGACTTTGTTGGTACGGACATGTAAGAAGAAAGGAAGATGATCACGTCGCTAGATTAGCAATGTCTGTGGAAGTCCCCGGAAAAAGACTCAGAGGAAGACCGAAGCTAAGATGGATTGATAAAGTTAATGCAGACTTGAACGAACTTGACTTGAATGAACATCAAGCTGAAGACTACGAAGAATGGAGAAGATTCACAAGAGTAAAAGAGTAGTGATCAAATTAATTCGCTGATTCTTGTTGTGTTTTTATAACATGAATACTTCATTGTTTTTTTTTCATAAAGAACAGCTTAAACGTATTGAAAAAAAAAGAAAATGAAATAAAGAGCAGCGGACCCCGTACTAGGGAAGAACGCTAGGATAAAAAAAAAAGTGTTCGCATTCAAACATCATTGTACAGAAAGGCTAATGAATTGGTAAGAGAGAGTTGGCTGCGGCGTTAGTGCACTCTCGATGTAATTACAGTCACAAAATCAATTTTAAGTTGTAGTAGTTATTGTTTTCCATGCAAAGGTGGCATACTCAATGAAAGTGTAACGACACACAGCAGCTACAAATACCTTTTCATATAGGCCGTCCCCGCAGAGCGCAGAGAGGGCGCAAGGTGTGTACTGCGCGTCACTCCTCTTTTCTCGTGCACTCTCGCCACCTGTTCTTTCTGCGCTTCTTCCAGTCGGGAGCTGCCTTCAATGTACGCAACAGCGTTGCTCTCCGTGCGCAGCGCGGACGGCCTATACCTGCCAGCTAGTAGAGGACCCAGCCGCCCCTCCTCCCTCTTCCGAGAATAGGTCGCGAAGTTTTCTGGTCACTTACATGGTAAAATGTGCAAGTGACTTGTTTACTCCTGAATAATCAGAATAACTCTGAAAAATCTAGAACCTAAAGGATTTTTCGGAATGGTGGTAACGCCACGCATCTTTGAAAATTTTTTTGTTCCTTCTCCCCCAAACCCCCAGAAGTTCTGAGACCGCCACTGTTTACCTAATATAGTGGCATTCATTGCGCCATTATGTCCACTCAGCGATTTTTTATACAACATTTTTCTCGATTTTACAAAATGTTGTGACGTATCTTCTCTGTGGATACACTTCATATTAATCAGCAGCTACTAATAAGTAGGGAAGAGGAGAGATAGCAAGAAACTCAAGGGAAACTCCTCAAAAATTGGGAGAACAGAAATTCAGCAAAATTGAAGGAGTTGAGAACGTGAAAAAAATTGAGAAAAATTTATAACTTGTCCGAAGATAAACATGGATAGACCAAAAGAGTATGAGTTTACATATATAGAGAGATATCAATGGTCAACTAGTGCGTACTAGATAGATGACTGGGTCTTACACCAAAATCATTTTATAGTTCATATTTTTCCTACCTGTAGAGGTCGGAATATCACTCGATAGATCAAAGTAAGCATCACTAGATTGTGTTAAGCCCCTTAAGAGTTTTTCTATTTGATTTTTTTCATAATTTAACACAATTTCACTCGCTCATACATATAAACTTCGCAAAAGACATTCATACAGTGCTGGCCATAGCTATAAAGCCACCTTAAAAATCACCGTAATTTGCTCTCTCTTGCTCATATTTGTCTGAAAAACCACTATTCTGTGCGCAAACTAACGTCGTACCATTGACCAGAACGGCTCCTGATTTCATGGATTTTGGCCAGAAAAAAATTGAAAATTTGAAAAAACGGGTTTCAAAGGCTGGTCACAGCTATAAAGCCACCTCTCATTTTCAATCAGTACTGCGTTTTTTGAACCCCAAATTTTTTGTACATATAGAACATCAAAACACAAAACATTTGTTACACTTGGAAGGGGTCGCCTTTCAAAAAAAAGATTCGTACTGCATTTTTTGCTCTAAAATGCATAACAGGTCACATCATTTGCAGAAAACTGCTTTTTCACCGAATTTTGAAGCACTTGTTTGACTCGGATGAAGGCCCTATGCTTTGCCGAGCCTTTGCAATGAATACGGCAAAAAGCGCTTGAGTTAACATTGCGTAGTCGCTGATATTGATAAACGAGCCCCAACCTCACCTCCAGGTAGACGAGTTTTCGAACCGCAGAAATTGAGTTCTAATGCCCGAAAAGCTCTGTCGCGTGCTCAGCGCGTCGCTTGTATAACGACAGACTCGTGTGCATAGCCTGTACGTCATCGCAACTCTGAGGACTCTGGTTCCGCTTTGGACGCCTTTTTTCCAAAAATGAGTGGTGCACTCCGTCTGATCATGATCCACTCTAACCACCTCGATCGAGCGGAAAACCGCTCAGAAGTTCAAAATCCTTCTATTCCTGACAGTTTAGTAAGATTTGAATAGATGAGGAGTTCAAAGCAGTGAAATTTGAAGTTTGTGAGATACACTGCGCACAACCGAACTGCAGACAAAGCGTTCTAACTTCATTGCGGCAAATAGATCTTTGCAAAAAAAACCTGGCGGCTTCTGCATGAGTACGTCGCCATGCAGACAAGGTGTCAGCTTCCAACCAAAAGTTTTCGCGTGTCAGAAATCAAGTTTTGCGCCTCAGAAGCGCGCCTACACCTCGGTAAGGTGAGGCTCGTTTACCAAGACTAGCGACTACGCAATGTTGAGTTCAGCACTTTTCACCTCGTTCATTGCAAAGGCTAAGCAAATCCTAGGACGTTCATCCGAGTCAAATAAGTGCTTCAAAATTTAGTGAAAAAGCAATTTTTTTTTGCAAATAATGTGAGTTATTATGCAATTTAGAGCAAAAAATGCAGTACGAATCTTCTTTTTGCAAGGCGACTCCTTTCAAGTGTAAAAATGTTTCATATTTTGATGTTGTATATGTGCAAAATTTGAGATTCAAAAGACGTAGTACTGATTGAAAATGAGAGGTGGCTTTATAGCTGTGACCAGCCTTTGAAACCCGTTTTTTCAAATTTTCAATTTTTCTCCGGCCAAAATCCATGAAATCAGGAGCCGTTCTGGTCAATGGTATAACGTTAGTTTGCGCACAGAATAGTGGTTTTTCAGACAAATATGAGCAAGAGAGAGCAAATTACGGTGATTTTTAGGGTGGCTTCATAGCTATGGCCAGCACTGTATATGCCGTTGCTGTAGATTTTTTGAGCTGAAAATTAAGAAGATGAAAGTTTTCACTTTTGTTGAAAAGAGGAGCTGTGTTGTTTTCGCATAAGTAGATGTATACTACACGCTTCTATACACACAAGCGCGAAATTTCAGCATCCTACAATAGGCTTCACGAAAATCGAGGTTAGCTTTTTTCACATGGGTGTTTCATTTTTCGTCAGTGCTTCGGGAACTAGTGTCTGTAAAAAGTTGGAAATTTGCAAAAAAAAAGTGAAAACCGATGAAAGGAAGGAGGTGAATTTTTTCAACCAAACATTAGAAATTTCTTAGGTTTCTGCTTGTAACTCGAGGTTGTTGAAGCTAGCAAACGTTCATATTTTATGAACCTTGCTTTGTAGTACCAAATTGAATCTGTGCACCCTATAAAGTAGGAAATATATAACCTTCTTGCGGTAATATAAAAGAACAGACTAATAATTGAACAACTGAATACTTAACATTTCATCCAACTTATCGCTCGTTGAAAAATCCCACGACTCCTTTACTTGCTTACCGTATCCGCACCGCATTTATATGAAAAGTTGCTGCATTCTGTCTTGGCTAGAAATCGAATAAAAAATTTTGTGGTTTTATCAAAACAATTGGAGCTGTTTCCATAAGTAAGTGAAAGTCAAAGCTTGATTGTTATTGAACATTATTTGTGCAAGCTTATCAAGTTTTTGCTAAGTAAAATTTACTTTTTGAATTTTCACTATACAAATGCTTAAAAGAGGGGTTTTGCTATAAACCACCATTACAAACTTCGAAAACTTGATTGTAAATCAGAATATAAAAATATGATAAAATATATAAAAAGTAATAAATGATAAAAATAATACATAAAAATAAAAAAATAAAAAAAATAAAATATACATCAG